GCAGCAGCCCCATGCCCCTCTCCTCCTACCCCCTGCACTGCGGGTGATAAATAAAAACTGTCTGCGCCTATGTGGCTCTGCTACTGTTTCCTTCTCTTCAGCTGCTGTATTTTATTTCATTTCATTTTATTTTTCACTTTTTTTGTTCTTTACTTTTTTGTTGGGGGGTAAAACTGACTTTTTGCCATGTAAGCCGAGTGCCTCAACACATGCCAAACGACAAAGCCGAAAAATTCCAAAGCCATGGCCGAAAAAATTCAATTTGATTGCTTTGTTCGCTTGTCTATTGGCCATTTAAGCAGCCAAAGCACTGAGTGGGCGTGGCACACGTGCAGGCGACTGCAGCTGCAGCTTAACAAGTTCATTTTTAGCCAGCGCCTGCGGCCACGCAATTGCAATTGCAATCGCGATAGCGACGCATAAATCAAATGCATTCTCAAAGAGAATACCGTAAAGGGGAAAATCCTCCCAAAAAAAAAATACAGAAGTAAATATTGCTAGAGCTATAAAATGCACTGCTCCTATATTCCGCAAATATATTCTAAAAAGGCTCCACCTCTATTGACTTAGCTAATGATGTCCCTCCCAGCTGCTGCGCTGCTAAACAGTCAACAACATCATTTCCCATCGACTGCACACGTGGAGCCTTCATCATTCGCCATTTGCTGCTAATTACATTCTGTGGCCGGCATAACCAAATCCCTGACGCCAAATGTTGACCAAAACAAAAGCAAAAAAAAATAAATAAAAACAAGTGCAAGTGCTTGAACGACCAGTAGATACCATTACTAGAAAACATTGATAATTTATAATTGATAATTTAATAAATAAATTTCAATCATAAAATACTTATTGATAACCTTAAAAAGCAAGTAGTTATCGATTAATGTAAAATTTGATAACTCTAGCTTCAATCATGTAGATAATGATGGATGTAGCTTAATAACTAAATCTCGATAACAGCATCCTCATCGATATTCTTAAAATTACAGTAGTTATCGATTAACGAGTACTGAAACTGAATACCAAATTTCAAAATTACAGTAGTTATCGATTGACGATTACTGAAACTGAATACCAGATTTCAAGGCTACAGCGCCAATCGATTTCGATAACCCCAAATCCACCAGCGTAAAGGGAGAGCACTTATCGATTCATTGAAAGAAATTCGATCTGTGATATAAAGCACGATAAAACGCTCCGAGATCTTATTTGACATTAATGCATATGGACAGATGAGCAGGGATAGATCCACTCAGCACACCATCCTTACCAAGAATATATGTATATACTCCAGCGGGTCTGATACACCTCTAATGGATTGTTTGGCAAATGAATGCATATACAGTTGCATACGGTTATATGTTCTGGTCCCCAGACACACTTAATAAACTCATATGAGTAGACATCTATGATCTTCCGATTATAACGACGGTCCCTTGAGCGTTATTATAATCGTGTTTCAGTTAGTCAAGTTTCAGTCCTGTATATAACAGCATAAGTAACTTGAGCTCAATATATATTGAAATTGATGCAAATGCAAGCATACCCTATGCCAGCCCATTTGACAGGGTAGACGAAAGCCTGAAATTACAGCAAGAATCCTATACGCACATGTGACCAAGCTTTCGCATGGACAGCTTCTCCGGTTGCAGCTTCGAAACTGTTTATGATTGATGGAGTTGAAATACAAGAACAAAGCAGAGAGTGGGAAGAACAGAGAGAGAGAGTGGGGGAGTGGGGGAGAGTGGAAGAGGAAAAAAAATAGAAACCGACAGCAGGCAAAACAAGTAATTAAAATACCAGGCAGGCAAATGGACCAAAAGCAAGGCTACTGTTGTTGCAGCCACATCTGTTGCCACAAATGGCCAGCCATAGACATAGCCATTGCCATAGCCCCAGCCGTAGCCCCAGCCGTGGCCATCGCCATTGCCGCATTCGTAGCTCAAACATATTGATTGATTTTTAATTACAAACATTTACCAATGCAGTTTACACAGAGGGTCACCCAGCTCGATGCGGGCATTGTGGTTGGAGTGGTGTTTCGGTGTGGTGCACGGCCACTTGAAGCGGCTGCTTCAATTTCAATTTCAATTATGCAAATACTTTTTTATTAAACGCATAAACAAATGCGTAGCAACAACTGCTCCGCCAATGGGTCGCCCAATGGCTGCTGCGCTGCTTGGCCACTGGAGTGACGGGGCGTGTAATTGCCGACGGCGACGTTGACTGCGACGCCGACGCATGCAATTAGCGTTTCAATGGGCGAATAGAAAATGCAAGAAAGAGCCCCAAAGAGCATGTGGAGTCGAGGGAGGGGCAGCTGTGCAGCTGAAGGTGCAGCAGTTGGCAAAAAGTGAAAAGTTGTTCCCCCAACTGCGGCCCCCCTCTCGCCTGCCGCTTCGCATGCTGCAATCAATGCGCCATTGTTGCGACGCGTTCGACAATTGTAAATTGGCAAGTTGAAAAACGCTTTTCACTTTTTTGCTTTCTTGCCTCGTCGCTGGCCGTCGCGTGCCACCGTTCGATATTCAAAGTTCGTAATTGAAATTTCCATTGCCTGCTTTTAGGCGACTCAGCGGCACATGGAGCAGACCCAAAGCAGCCCCAAAACCAGCTGCAGCCACAGTGTGGAGTTCAAGTCAAGCCGCACAGCTGTAGTTAAACTGCTCTGCGCGCTGTCAAATCACTTTTGTATATGTGAAAAGTTTTGCGCTACGTTTCATTTGATTTCGCATTAAGGAACGAGTATTTGATTTCAATTAAAACTTAATCAAAGCAATATTTCAATAGCAAAACATTTCGCCGATTCAAATATTTGCAATTGAGAAAAGCCGAGTTTTAATTAAAAGCGATATATTTTATGCATGTATGCATATAAATATATATTGTATAAAGATGATATTGCAAATATATATAAAAAATGGCATTTACATACGTTTAAATACCCTGCATGAAAATGCTCAAATGGGGTGTATGGCTTTTTGGATTTTGTGTGAATAAAAGCAATATATTTTAGCATTCCTTTAAAATTTACTTTTAAAACAAATTATATAATAACTATTTATTTAATTTTTTTTTAATTTTATTTATTTTTTATTATTTAATTATTTAATTTTTTTTATTTTATTTATTTTTTATTATTTAATTATTTAATATTATTTAGTATTTATTTATTATTTTTTATTTATTATTTATAATTAATATTTTATTTATTTATTATTTATTTTTTATCAATTATTATTATTATTTTTTAAATTTTTAATATTTATTTTTATTTTTATTTTATTTATTATTATTTATTTTTATTTCATTATTTTTTTTATTTATTTATTATTATTTATTTTTATTTCATTTTATTTTTTATTTTATTTATTTATTTTATTTGATTTTTATTTTATTTATTTATTTTATTTTATTTATTTAGTTTATTTAATTTTTTATTTTATTTTATTTCATTTATATAATGGAAATTGTTTTTTCTATTATTTATTTGATGTTGAGTTTGGAATGTAATTTAATTTTTTAAATATATAATATTATAAAAATTATTGTAGTATAACAGTTCAACTCTGAGATTCATCAATCGATTAATATATTTAAAGTGAAGTGAGTGAAGTGAGACTTTGGACAGCTGAGCTGTCGAACAGCAGCTGATTGCGCGGTATTCCTTAGTCCAGCATTGACAAACAATGCGAAATTGCATTTAACATAAAAATCTGCTTTTGATGTGCGAACATTTTACAGTACTTTGCTTTTTTTTCTTTTTTTTTTTATAAAGTATAAAATAAAGGCAGCTGGATATATGTATGTTTTTCAATTACCAGTTATAAATGCATTTATTATTTTATATTATATGTACATTATATATTGATATATATTTTGATGTAAGTGCAATAAATTTTCCCATTTTTTGTCGAGTTATTTTCAATTAAGTTGCCAACTTTCTATGGCCAAGTCGCAGTCGCTGTCTCTGTGGACTCACTTATACAAATGCTGGCATATAATTTACAATTTGTGATGCATTTGCCACGCCCCCACTTGAGTGTAGTGGGCAGGGTCGCCTTGGGCTAACAAATGGTTAGCAATTTAGTTGGCATTCAGGCGATTCGATGAAGCATTCACTGAATCCATTTGCCTCTTATCCTGCCAGCCAGGCAGCCATTCAGCCGGGCTGTCTGGCGTACACGTGATAATTGCTGCGAAGGACACTGCGACTTGGCATTGTCCTGCCGGCAGTCCGACCGGCCTGGCAACTTATTGAATCTGTACAATTTGTTGGGCGTTTCTCCTGTTCGCCTCGTTGTAATTTCAATTGTCTATGCAAAGCGACTTGAATCGCCAAATGACCAGCAGCAGTCGGTCCCATGCCCCGACTCCTGCTCCTGCTACTTGCTGGCCAGCCCCATCTAGACGGGTTTTGTGTGTACAAATCCCATAGCCATTGGCTGGCTATTGTCTCTCGTCGCCTTTGTCATGTGCCGCAGCGTCGTCTGCCTTTTGCTGGCAGCCAGATAAATTTCAATGTATTTGCAAGCGCAGCAGCGCGAGTCCTGGACAACGCCTCTGCCTCCACCGTGTACTGCTACACGTACTACTTCTCCTGCTGCTGCATGCCTGGCAACATTTCTTTGTTTATCTTTATACATTTACAATTAAAAGGGCTTCGCATTGTTGTCGCTGTCGTAATATTAATGAATCTGTGTGCTTCACTGTCTGTGTATTTGTCCAGGACACGCACCACAAATCCCGATCGCTACCAAAACCCCTATCCCTGCCCCGCCCCTGCTGTCCCTTTCACATTCACGTTAATTGATTGCAATTTGTTTATGTAAATGCGCCTGTTTGCATCCATTGGGATTTTCATTTCTTTTTTTTCTTTTGGTCGGTTTTTTGTTTCGCATTTCATATGCGCTCGGCCTGGGCAAATTGTGTGCAAATTTTGTGGTCAGCTGGCTGTGTGCTCCGGTTTTGATGGCAATGCATAATTTTTGCATACGCTCGCAATTGCCTCATTAAGCGCTATCAATATATTCATAATTATCAACACTCACCCCCTCCTCTTTGCCCTGGAGCAGGTGCACGGCACCGGAGCGCTGAATGCCGGGCAGAAACCACATGGGATGCGTTAGAAGCAATCGCTCCATCAGGCCCAAATCGCAGGGCGGCGAATCGTTGCTGGAATCGCGAGAGCTCTCCTCGCTGGATGTCTCGCCCTCGGCCAGAATGCCGCCCTCCGAGCTAGAGACGAGAGATGTGCGTGACTGCAATGGGAAGATGGGAAAGCATTCAATTAGTAACTGTTATAATGTGTTATACAAAGCACAGCTACAACTAAAATTAGTATTATATATTAATTGTAAAGTGTATTGTTTGACTAGCGCAAAAACTGGCATAACTTAGACTTCACTCATGTTATACTGTAGCACAATATATGAGATATAACAGACTTTTGCTTAGCGTTAAAGTGTAAGTGTAAGTCCAAGACATCTTCAGATAATCACGAAACTTACAAGTCTCGGAAATGGAATTCGTATTAGTAACTGTTATACAAATGTAACAAAAATAAGCTTTATAAGAAATACTTTAGTCAGCTTTTTACAGTCCACTTTCATACGCTCATCTAGATATATTTCGTCGCTGATGACATTAATAATTCAAAATGGCAGGAAAATAGTTTTGGTCATATCACAGTCATAACTGTTATACAAAATTTTTGCATAACATGAATGAGCGCAAGTTTCAGGAATAAATTGATATGATATTTCCCATATTTAATATTATATATATTAGGTACATAACATACCATCATACTGTTATACAAAACATTTAAAACTACTTTTGTACAACATGATAATAAACTGGTTAATAATGATAATAAAACTGGTTTATATGATATGGAATAAGTGAAAAACAGCATTATATATCTGCATAACACATACCCCCATATTTGTAATACAAGAATACGACAGCAGTAAGATTAAAGCAGAAGTAAATGCTATAATGTTTTAGCTATAAAAAAGGATTTAATATTCCTTAGGAGATCTTCGATTGTAAGTAAAGCTGCAAAGTCTACTACAAATCCAATTCAAGCTGTAAATATTATGTAGAGCTGAGAAACACTTAACAGCCTCAGTCTGCTTTCGTTTTTAACTGTTATACAGACACTAGAACTATAAAAGTCGCAACTTAAAGGTGACTATAGCTTAAATCAAAACCAAATTGTCCTAAAATAATTCAAGTCTGTAGTTTGCCTCTGAAAGTTCCGAATTTGAAATGAAGTGAACTGCTGCTGGCAGTGCAACTGTTATACAACTGCCACAGCTTGGGCTACGTTTTTAGCTTAAGTTCTTCACCTTAGAGCTAACAAGGGGCTAGACAACAGCAACAGCAACAGCAACAGCAACGTGCTCGACCGCATTTAGCCACGTTCTCGAGCGCTACTCAAGAGGGCTGCCATCGCAAGCCATGGCCAGAACATGCGCTTGTTATATACATATATATATATATTTTTTTTCTATCCCATTTTGTCATTGCTTGAGATGCGCAGTTGTACTGTACGTTGCTCTGACATATAGCTGTTGGCCATATCTTGTAAAGAGGCACAGATAGATAGACAGACATAAACACACACACTCTCACACACTCACACACACACGCATGCTGTCAAATCTTGAGTGCAATCTCATGTCAGGCCATCAAGCAAATTTTTGGGGCACAACTTTAAAAGAGCTCGAGGGCGCAGGCTAGCCTGGCAGGAGCCGGCAGTGAGAGCAGCCCGCATGCTGCCACGCATCTCGCTGCCAAAGAGAAGTGAACTGAAATTTCTGTAGCATTCGCGTAGGCGTTTTTAATTGAAAATTGCCGTGGGCGGTCTTTTGAAGTTCTGTCTGTATTTTCCATTTTTTTTTTTTCTGTATTTCTTTTTTTTTTTTTTCATTGTGTTGCGTCGCTCTTCTCGAGGCCTCTTACAATGCCGTAGCACACTTTTATGCGCCGCGAATCAAAAAATGCAGCCGCAGGGGCTGAAATTGCAGGGTGCTGAGCCTTTAATGGGAGCAGAGGTCGCTCTCGCTCTCGCTCTCGCCCTCTGCCTCTCCCCCTCTCGGTCTCTGTGTGTAATGATGCCAAAGAGCGACTGCTGCTGCTGCTGCTGTTGATGTTTGCCAAGTGTAAGCGATGCCAAATTGATGCCAAGGCAACCGCGCCACAGCTTATGGAAATGCAAATTTTGAGTAGACAAACAAGTTCATAGCACATCAGGCAGAGTCTATAGACAGACATACGGATGTATATATTGTATTAATAAGTATGTAAACATACCATATACCCTTGCAAAATGCTTCATAGAGCTCAAGCCAGAGATTTGATTAGGTCGATTCGATTTATTAGAATTTGTTATCAGATTTTTCTTTTGGTTTGGCTTAATTTCATAAAAAATTCATAAAGGAAATCAAGTAATATATTTATTTGTGATTTATATTTAAATTTAATTTACTGCTCATTGAGAAACGAACCCTTAACGAGCCCTCGCAAAGCACCCTTAACAAAGTCAAGGATTCGAGCATAAGGCTAGACAAGTTTGATGGATTTGAGCACAATTCGCAGTCCGGTTATAAAGTACTTTATAGATAGTAATCTAAGATCATGAAATATGAAAGAAAATTAAGAGGTTTATTTTTTATATTGAGTGGAGTACTTTGTTTTTGGTAATTGAATAGCTGAGACAATCTGGATTGTGAACGGCATTATGGATGATATTTATTTTTCTATTTTTATTTATTTTTTATGCTGCTATATATTTTTTATAGTAAAAAAATATAGTTTTTATTTTATATATTTCTATTTATACTTTTAAAATAAATATTTATATTTTTAAGATTGATTTAAATTAAAAATTTTATAATTTTCCCATTTTAATTTTAAAATATATTATTCTAAATATACTATAAATTTTTTATTTTTATTATTATAAATTTTTTTAGGAAATTCTTTTTGATTTATTAATACATTTATGGTTTTTATATACTTTTTGAAGCATTTAATAATTATAGTATTTTTTTTTTTTTTGTATTTTTGTGAGCCGCACCGTTGCCCGGTTGTTTGCTTGCGCAGCTGGTTCCCCGGCGTATTTTGTTCCGTGTCAAGCTCATTCAAATTATCACAGCCCACAGCAATTAACCGCTACAAAAAACAGGGTATGCACGCTTGCAAATGCTACTTCACTTGTCGAATTAAAAAATAATAAAGAGAAGAAAAAAAAAGGCAAGTCAAGTGGCCGTTGCTGCACGCCACGCTCCAAGCTCAGCCCACGCAATGACTCGTTACCGCTAACAACGTCACGGATAGGGTTGACCTTTTTTTCGGACAAATATATATACCTATATTCATACATACACATAAAGAATTATATGTATATAGAGAAAGGGTTTTTTTTTTCAGCTTCAGTTTGTGTTTGGGTCGTGTACAAACTTTTTAGCAAAAAAAAATAAAAAGGTCGCGGCTCTAATTGAGTTATTTCTGGCCGACTGTCAAATTAGGTTGCCCAAAAACACCTTGTAAATACTTCTCTCTCTCTCTCTCACCCTCTCTCTCTCTCTCTCTCTCTTCCTCTCTCTCTCTGTATGAATGGCATTTGTGTGCAAATAGAAATTTGATTTACGCGCCAGCAGCGAGTTTTAATTTTTGATGTCATTTATTAAACGGGTTTCATTTTCTGTCTCTTCTATGTTTTTTCCTGGTTTCTTTTTGCAGTTGATCTTCTGCAGGCATTAATCATACGCAGCGTTGTCTAGCGACAGGAAACGAGCCAAGACAACGCCACGCATTGAAATGGAAATCGGGCAATGGCAATGCTGTCTGTTCATTTGGCAAACATTTAAATGCGAGACGGGCACAGACAGACGCAGCAAACGAAAATGGCAATGGGAGAAAGGCAGAGCAAAGAAAAAAATGGGAAAATTGCAGAAAATCCCTCGAAGAGACGTTTGAAAATATTTCAAAGCGCACAGCAGGACACAGCAGGATGTCCCGGCAAGCGTCGAGCGCTGAGCATTTTGCAAAATTATGCTTAAATCAAAAATCACAGCCAGGCAGCGGCAACAGAAAAACTCAAGCCTGCACAACCCCAAAAGAGAGAGAGAAAAACAGAGAAACGTGGGGAGACGGCGAGGTAAATGCTGCGCATATTTGATGCCCTGCATTAAGTCTTAAGTATTGCTTATTAAGGCAATGGGGACAACGACGACGAGGACGAGTCCCTTTTTTTTATGTATTTGTGTTGATTGCACACAAAAAACTATTCGGACTCCTTTCGCTGGGACCCAAACAGTGAGGCCAGGCAGTCAGGCCAGGCAGTCAGCCATCCAGCCAGGCAGTCAGCAATAATGCGTTACTTATTAAGTTAGCCCAGGCTCTCATTTGTTTACAGATTTAACCACACAGCCGCCTGAAAGTGCCTGCCGCTGACAGCAACCCCTGGCAGCAGCCAAAAGGAATATACATACATATATTTATATATGGAGAAGCTTTCTAAGTAGCTCGACTGCAATTTCAAGTGCCACTGGGGGTGGCTGCTGCTGCTGTTGCTTCCTGGTCGCATGTGTGCTAGCAAAATGTATTTGATTTTGGCTAAAGGAGAAAAAACAGGCAGGCTGGGAGAGCGAGTGAGAGTGAGTGAGCTGCTCTGGCTGTCTACGCGTAATGTTAAGCAAACAGTCGCGACTTTAAATTTGGCTGCTTTTGGCGTCTGCAGCTGCAGCAGCACAATGGCCAGCCGAGCGAGGCGGCCAGACAAACAGCCAAGCCTTGAGCAGCAGCTGCTGCTGTTGCCGTTTCAGGGTCAGAAAGCAGCAGACAGAGATGCAGACGCTGGCTGCTGTTGCCGGAACGCTGAGCAGACAACGAAAGTAAGTTGACTTCCGTTGCCGACGGCTGAAAATGAAAATCGCCATTGCTGTTGCAGCAAGCCTCAACCCCTACTCGCTCCTCTCTTCTCACTCCTTTTGGCTACCTTTTGTTAAATATTGGCCTGTCTGTTTGGCTGACTGCTATTTAGTTTTCCAATATTGGCAACAATTTCGCTATCTCAATGCCAATATAAAAATTCCCCGCCATACGATCTAATATTTCAATGCATTTACCTGTGTCTATACCTATGTAGATATATATATATATATCGATTCGCATATATGTATATGTATGTGTATGGGCAACGTCGCGCTGCATCATCTAATAAATTGCACAACAAATTGCGACCGCACAA